CAACCCAGGTGCAGGACCTTGCATGAAGAATGTGTGAGGAAAAGTTCAGATGTGTTCTGCGAAGGACTGTTCACTCCATACAGTGCAAGGGGAGTACCTGGCAAAATGTCATCTGGCAAACAGTAACAGTTTTTTAAAAAATATAGATGACAAAGTCTGATGGAAATCAGGATTAAGGAATCTCGAACAGTTGTAGAAAACCAGACGACTAATTGAAAAAGTCAATCTTCATTTTTCCAACCTGAAAAGTAGAGTTATCTTGCTCAATATTATCAATATTATCTAGGATATCATACAAATTCTTCCATAAAATGATCACAGCAGTAGCTACAATCAGGTTTATCCAGGCCATGGTGTTTCATTTACTACACTTTAAAAAGCAGGGCAGTAATCCTCACAGCAAGATGCCCCTAAGGGAAGTAACAGCAGCTGCTCACTCAGGTTTATGGGAATATGACTGAAGAACAGACTCCTGACTTTCCACTGAATTTTTTACAGGAGTGTTTAAAGCAATCACACCACCTAGAGGATTCTGCCTCCTGCAAAATCGTTACTGAGTGATGAGTTTGGACAAGGGTAGGAACACTGTCATTTAAACCAAATCATAGCGAGTATCTGCCTTAGTTCAAAGCTCTTACTCATGTTTTTCAGTCAAGACAGTACACTGATTGTGTTACTAACACAAGGAAAGAGCAGCCCACACTGAAAACGAAGAAATGACAAGACATCTACGTGGTTAATTATAATTAAGACAACACCGTGAGATTCCACTTACATATGTATAGCAGTACCTTACACCTGGGGGAAGATTATCCAAAGAAAGTATATTCAAGGGGAAATAACAGACAGAGCAGCTGGTATGGGTGAGAAAACCATAGAGTGCAAAGCTCTGCAGCAGATCAGACCAGAGCTGCAATGGGATATAGCTGGAAAACACAAGCACGCCCTTCCCTCTGCCTGCCTCGGCTGTGTGGCAGCTGTAGGAATAGCATCCCCCACATAACCAAGAAAAAACAAGTTCATCTCATTACAATCCCAACAGAAGCTCCTGGTGCAGCTTATTCAAAGGTGGCATAATGCAACCGATTTAAAAGCTCGGGGAAAAGGTACGTCAGGAGCATCGGCTATGAAAGGAAGTGAAGTGACAGGAAGCCATGGAAGTGAGACAGAGCAATGTGAACATGGTTCTGCCATTGCCTTTTTTGAGCAACGTGCCAAAGGAAGTTTTTCAACAAGTACATCTTATTACAAAAACCAGAATACAAGTCAGATGGGTCCTTCAGGACACAGCAGCTTTCTCCCAACATGAGCTGAACAAATGATTCTCATAGCAAAGGACACCTGGAGACCGCAGGCCCTCTGGCAGGCTGTCAGCAAGCTGGAAGTGCAGAAGCTAATGCACTGAGTTTAAGGTGGTAGAACACAAGGACCTCTGGCAGCAGAAGGAGCAATTGGGCATCCATTTCCACCATCTTAAAGTTTAAGTCACTTTGGCTGCAGCTGAAATAGGGCAATTCCCAACTCCTGCCAGCACAACAGACCTCCAGTGCAATGCACAGCAGGCTTCCTACAAACGCTGCTGAGCAAATACAAGTATTTTAGTGCTGCAGAAAAAGCTTGGGCTCACCTGTTTCAGGTTCACCTCTTCAGGTCCAAGAAACGCCAAAGGCAATTTTCCTACATCCTTGCTCCTTCCACCTTCCCCAGAGAAAGGCAGGCCTGCCAGAGCTGCCACATTACCACCAGCGGCCGTGCAGGGGAGGGACGGCAGAACAAGCCTGACACATTTTTCTGGTGGAGAAGGGGCAGGGGACAAAACTACCAACCCTGAACTCCTGCAGTCTGCACCAGACCCAAATCTTTATTTTCTCCTGTGAAAGACATATCCGTTCTAGGTTTGTGCTCTCTCCTTCCCAACAAACCACCCTGGATGTAGAAGTTCATTTCCCACAGACTGGGTTCACTAAGGGCAAGGCCACCTCGGACATCTGAAAGATGAGTACAGCGGAGGGGCACAGCTAAAGGTAGGAGAGAGACAGAAATACATCACGTGCACTGGCAGGGGTGAATGAGGCCATGCTACTTTTCCAACCCTCTGCACAGGACCCCATGAAACACACAGGCAGGAATCCCCTGATGATCTCGCCAACTAGTTGCCAAACTAGTTCTGAGTAGAAAGTCCCTGATCCGCCAGTTAGGAGACAAGACAGGTGTGGTGCACTTGGGTTGTTTCTCACACACCTCAGCAGCTTGTAAGAAATGAGCAAGAGAGTGTGTAAAATGCCCAGCCCCTCACGCGTGCACGCACGCAGCAGCTGCAGCAGGCCCTTTGTACAGGGCGCAGCCTACGCTGGGATAGCAGGAGGGGGAACAGGCGAAGATATACCTTACTTAGGAATGCTCACGCGCTGCGTTAAGTAGTGTGATAATTAAATCGTTAGTCACATTGACAAGTGGGTGGAAGAGGCTGGAAACGTCTGATGCAGTTCGCTGCAGGCAATTACACATTTACCAGCGATGCATCTGTCACACACAAAGATGGGCTCAGACCCAAGTATCTGCAACAGCTCAACTTTAGCCCGTTTCCCAGAAGTCAAACGGAACGAAGACACCAGCTCTGCAACTGCAGTATTCTGAAACAGCCCAGACCCACCGCCAACCTACCGCATGAGAACAGCTGTAGGATTCCACATACACAAATACTCATCAGGCAAGAACTTGCAGAAGCTAATCCTTATCCAGAGATCTGGGAATTTCCCCTCTTGAAATTCTCCTGGAACATACTAACCAGTTATGTAGCGCTTACGTGTCCCCAGTCCTGTTACGTGGCAGATCTCGCTTGGCTGCTGTGTGACAAAAGGCTGGCAGGCTCCGCAGAGCTCTGGCAGCGGGTCAGCGCGCACCTAACCACTCTCTACAGTAAGCATCTGCCCCTCACACAGGACCAACTCATCTTTGCAACAATTTAAAATTTCCTTTACAGCACAAAACTGAAAGTAATTCCATTTGTTTTAATGAACTCAATTTAACATGGGAGCTGACTGAAAAAAATGGATCTTGTACTCTAGAGCACCAGCCCTGTATCACTATCAGCCTCAAAATTCCTCCACACAGGGGGCTATAATTATTAAGGGGGGAGAAGAAAAGCAACAAATGGCAATAACATGTATTAGAAACACCTCCCTTGTGCTGGTCCCATTCCACAGAGAAGCCTGCAAAAGCCAGTACCTCTCCCAAGTCCAGAATTCTCAAATTCTTTAGAAACTAACTGCTTCTAGAGAAAGCCACAGGCTTGCAGGGGGTCTGCATACTTGCCACGGCCTGCGACAGGTCAGCTTAGAGGAAGCAGTCTATAGGAAGGTGCACAAGGAGGACAAGACTCACAAGGACAAATGAGGTGGGTTGTTTCTCCCCAAAGAAATTTTATTTGAGAAAGCTGACAAAAATCCCCCAACCAGTCATTACAGGTAAATCCATACCAGTTCCCCCACACCTGCTCCCCAGTAATCACACCGGTACAGTGAAGATCAAAACGCAACACCACAACGATGACAGTGTAACAGTCACCTGGGGAACTTAAGGCCTCGCCACCAATTTTAAGATAAAGATATCTTTGAACTCTGATAAGGATGGGGAAAGGATATCAAAACAGACAAGACTGGAAAAGGCCCTTTCTTATACTGTCTTTTCAAGTTATATAAAAACAAAAGCAAAACCTTAAGAGACCTACAGGCTTCAAACTGTAGGACCTAAAACTACCTTCAAATGACGTCTCTAATTCAGTCCTGTGGCATCACTGCTGTTCTGCACTGTAACAGCTTGCAAAAGCGTACAAGGATAAAATGGATGCAAGGGCAGAGGAGTGGACTTGGGTTCTTAATATGGCTTCATCAACAAAGAAACAAATTAAAAGCAATCTAAACACTTGCCAGTGGAACTAACAACTCCAGGAACCTGGCAATGGCAAAGGAGAGGCAAAGTACTAATGTATCTAGATGACAGGAGGTCATCTTCTCATCCTCTCACCCACTGCCTCACCCTGGACAACCATGTCCTTGCCAGCAATAGCTCAGATTCAGGTCAGAAATTATAAAACCATGCTTTTTTTTCCCAAATGGTAGCCCAGGCCCAGGGCCACGTCAACCCCTTCCTTAGCCAGAAGCGTCTAGGCACGTGACACCAGAATGCTGTGCTGATGAACCATTTGCTCTGGAGGAATGCGGAGATAACGTAATTGTAATCATTGCCTAAAAACTGCAGCCAGTGAGTCCAGGAAGTTAACCTGCCTGTCTTTTCCCAGCCTGGCTTACTTATCATCATGCCATCTGCCTGGCTGAGGGATGATGAGAAGCTGCTTGCGCTCTCTGTAGTACCGCATGAAATAACAATTCTGTCAAGGGCACAGTCCAGGCTCCTCCACAGATGCAGAATTAGCCTATTCCTACCCTGTACTGCTTTTTTGAGTTCATCCACCACCTGCAAAGCACCCTTGCACCCTCAGACCTCAACGCAGGGTACAGGCCCTCATGTTTCACACAAGCAGCAGCCCCACCTTGCTTTGAGGTCTCAGAAAATGAGGTTCAGCCAGCTGTCTGCTGGGTAAATGCTACACTGTTCGATGCGAAAGTCTGCTGCTCAATGGAAGACCCAGTCTCCTTGCATAACCTGCTCCTATTTGCTCTGTGACTTTGTCTGACTGAGGCCTCCCATCTGCACAAAAGGTCGTCCTGACTAAGGCTTTCAGGAAACCTGCTGCATCATTTCAGAACAAGAGGGGAAAATCCAAGACAAACACGTGGAGCAAGGGCAGGACCAAGCCTGGACAGCTTATTTAAGCAAAGCAGGCTTCTCCTTTCTCAGCTCAAACACATTCCCAAGCCCTCCTTCCAAGGCTACCTTCCTCCAGGCTGAACCTACATATGCTCAAGTGCCCTGACCTGTCAGCACAGACACCAGCTCCCACAGGGAGAAACACAGAGGTCCACAACTGGGACCAAACCTCGGACCTCCCTCTATCCTCAGGCCCTGCTGGAATGGTGAATCCTATTGCTTTGCGCTCACCTCCGTTTGCACGAGGCTTAGATGCCAGCTGGTCAGAAGAGGGCATGCCCTGCTCTGCCCCGGTGCTAGTGGCACCTTGAAGAGCTCAGCAGGGTCAAGTGGCTCCGAGTTAACACTGCAGTCACAGACAGATGGGGAGACATCGTCAATTCAAGGTTATAAAAGGAGAACAGACAGCGCAAAAACTTGCTGCAGCTGTCATGGAAACATCTTTTTTTTTTATTTAATCGCTGCCCAGGAATCCCCAAACCCATCACAACCTCCCCCACCCTCAACATCCAACAGGATTTCATAAGTCCCCCATTGCATCCAATGTTTAGGCTCCCCTCCCCCTGTAGGGTCCGAGTTCCTGCAGAAAAGCGCCGGTCAGTGGGTATCATCTGTGAGATGGCTCCAGGGGGCCGTGGCTGGGTCCCAGCGGTGTCCAGCTGGGTCTGAGAGGAGGGGGAGGAGGACTTGCTCCTTTACTCAATAAGTTTCTTGGCCTTGAAGAAGCGACGCAGGTAGAAAACCTGCCAGGTGGCCAGTCCGATGAGACAGCACATGGAGAAAATGCTGAAGTACAGAACCCGGGTGTTTGTCGACTCTGAAACAGACCACAAACCATTGCACAGGAGTCTGACATCACAGGATGCACCTCCACAGAGCAAAGTTCCCAGGATTTTCTCTCCCCACCCGTGCGAAAGTCAAGGTGTCGTAGAGCATGCAGGCAAGGGCGCCCCAGCACCAGCAGTACTTGAGAATAAAAGCAGAGGGAACAACGAGAAGGATGAGAGGGAACAAGGCGAAACTGTGGTTAATGGGCAACATTAAATGGTACGCAATTCACATTTGGAATGGAGACAGAAATGATTTCTAGAGATGGGATACAAGAGACTCAGTGACTGCTTCAGGAGAGAAAAACATCAGCAGGTTCCTCTTACTAGGAACAGAACAGGCAGAGACCATTGTAATTGCTTGATGTCCAAATGCTGTCCTAGTAACACATTCAGCAGAAGTAAGGGGTCTTGGAGCTCCGTCCCTCTGAAGGAGCACAAAGCCTCTTACCGTTCGTGTCCCGCATCTCCTCTTCTCGTTTCTTCATATAGGCAAAATCGTTCACGATGGACTCTGAAAGATCTTCCAGGCGCCTCAATTCTACTTCCAGAGGCTTCAACTTCTCCACTTTAGCAATCTGGAAAACAGAAGAGTCAAGCAATCACTGAGCCAAAAACTAAAAGCTCCCATGTGGGCTTTTACTGCCAGTTTGAACTGCTCCTCCTCACATACTACAGATCTGGGACATCCTTCCCCTAGGGAAACCCCTCTACAGAAAGCCAGAAACTACCGTTGCATAAAAAACTATCACTTCTCCCACCTGTTCTCTGAAACACACTTTCCTACTACCCCTCCTACACAACGGAGGAGCACAGTATGCACACGCTTCTTCCTTATTCGGCCTAACGTTGGCTTATTCACAGTTGGCTTCCGAGGAGTGGGTAGAGGAGCTTGCACATGACTAAACCTCCAGTGAGCAGAAGCCAGAGGCTGAGATGCAGGTGACTAACTAACATACGCACACAAAATTGTTCTATAGGCACACGGGGCGTTAGCACCGAGTCTCGCTTCACTCACTGTTGCCACGCACCCCCGAATGCCTGGGCAGCCCGATTCCCACTAGCAGCAGTCTGATGACACCCACAAGAGCTCAGGGCTTTTACCACTCAGACTGTGAAGGGAAAAATCATGCTACCAGGAGTAACAAAGGAGACAGAGAAGTCCTGTAAAAACTTTATTCCAATAGAGTCCATGGGACATATCCCTGTGGGGTCTCTCTTAACCTACAGGGGGATGCAGCCCCCCTTTTATCTTACTTTTCCGGCTGCAGAGCCCCTCCTCACTGGCTGAGGTACTCGGAGTGTACAGACTACCCAATCCGCCTTAAACGTTCACGTAGTTACACCCGCACCACACATCGTACGTACCATTAACTCTGCCTTTATGCTGCCCAGGGCAGAGAAGTTAATAGGCATTAGCTAACTGAGCAAGCGCACAAACAGTTGGCACCGTTCTCAACCTTGGCCAGTTGTGGCCAGTTCTTGCAGATACCTTGGTCAGCTAAGTTCTAATTGCTTCTTCTTTCCTTCCTCTTATCTTGAGTCTGCACAGGCTGCCTTTGTTTCCTCTTATCTCAAGCCTGGGTTTGCACAGGCTACCTTTGTAAAGACATGCAACTGGTGTTCGTATCAATCCCTCCTCTTCTATTCGCTCAATCATTGTCTTTACAACATGTGGCAACCATCAGTTTGATTTTCTCTTTTTATTTCCTGGACTACATGAAATTCTTAGCAGCAGCATCTTTGGGCCCTTCCGCGCCGTCTCGGATATGGCCACCACCTGCATCCTCTGAACTGCACGCTGAGTTAGTTGGATAAAACAAGGTGTCACGCATGGTACAAAGATCAGAGCTGCTATTGCACAGAGGTAGAAAAATAAAACACATTTAACCCATGGTCCACCAGGCAACCATGAGAACATGTCCCACTCCCATCCTTCCCAGGTTTGAACTGGCACACGGGCTAGCTTTCTCATCTCTTGTTATTTGCTTTCCCAGCTTCCCGTTATCATCTATTTGTAAACAACAGTTGGGTTCATTTAGTTTTCCACAAACACCACCTTCTCCTTGTTCTGCAAGGAGATCGAGGGCCTCAGCTTCTGGTTAGTTATAATTTCTAAAACAGCTTGTAATCTAATTATCCTGTTCAAATTGTAAATTGGTTCTCTTGCTCCAGAAATCATCTCATTGGGATTCCATGTTGCTGGTCCATAATATTGTATAATTTGTTCAGGAATGTATCAATTGATCTCTTTTCTCTTACTAAATCATCATATACTTTAATTCCTAATCTCTTCCCAAAAAGAACAGTGGTCTAATATACCCTCCTATATAGCATATTCCTGACCAGTTTTTAGGTAGTTTGCCATAAGCATGTTGTCCACAATTCCAATAATGACTCTTCAACGCCCAAGGCCCGTTAGAAAAAGGGCCATTGCAAGTTTTCTCATCCTTTGGTTCTTCATAATATAAAGTATTCCCAAGCCCTACAGGTCCACCCACAATGATTATATTGGGGGATATGGTGCCATTAATACAATAAATACATCTCCATGCCCCTGCCTCCGATCGCCACATACGGTTACATCCCCAATTTGTTCCTCTCCATGTTGTTTGGTTGGTCCTAGACCAGAATTTTTGGAAGTGCATTCTAGTCTCATTATTATGCTGCCATGTCCAACAAAATATCTGTGCTACGTATTTTTTATTCGCAGAGTATCAGACTGGAACTTCCGATCCGAAGCTACCTTGTCACAACCAGAACCTTTAAAGTCAGCACGTGAGCATTTTACCCAACCTTATTAGAAAGCTGAATGTGAGTCTGACTCCATTCCCTTGATGCTTGGAACAATGGAGTGGTGCACAGCCTCGATGGACACAATCATATCCAGGAGACAGCATCCATTCACAGGTACTTCCTCCTACAGACACCCCTCCCCTGTTGGTTCTATTTAGGCAACAAATACCTTTCCCTGAAAAGCAGAGTTGCTATGGACTCCCTTCCTCCGTCCAAAAACCAGTTCCGTTCATAACGGAACTGAAGTTACTAACCCACCATTTAGTCTGGACAGGCTGGGCTACTCATGGCCAATTTTCAGAGTTTCCTGGGCTTTCCCAGACCCAGCAGTTGGTCAAATTAACGTTTTTTTGGCAATTTCTTCCCCTAAGGTTAAGGATCAATTTTCCCAGGTCAGACCCTGCCCTTGCTGAATGCGTAAGATTATTAGTATAACCTCCAAAGAGCATTTTTCACCATTCAGTGTCAAAGTCACCACTTCCCAGTTTTATAGACCGATCATTAGTTCTTCACTTCCGAGTATATCTTCAGAGCTTCTCCCGAGGATGACACACAAGTTATTGATTCAACCAGTCCTTGCAGAGGGTCAGTTTCAGTCTCCCTTCAGATTCCTGAAGCTCAGAAGTCCTCACAGGCCTTGCCCATGGGTATAATGTGAGAAAGGTATCAGAAGGAAATATAGAGGAGGTAGAAGTGAGAGTACATGCCACACGACAGCTATACTAGCTAACAACATCTTCTTTTAACCGTAACATACCTAAATCTACTGATCTTACAAAACCAAAACGTGTCCCAGGCAGAGCTTGAGGACTTGTTTACAGCCCTGGAGAATGCAAAGAAGGTGGTCTATATTGCAAACAAACACAAAATAATAATTACAGCAATAGCTAACAGAGGAAGTCCCCCAAAATGACAGAGCGGTATACATTTTGCCGTTATTCCCAGGGCTGCAGTGACACGAAGCTGGTTGTGGTTGTTGATCACGGCCCTCGTGGTCAGTGCTGAAGCTGGTGGCTATGCAACCCTGGCTCGCCGGAGCTGGGGTCTGCATACGCAGCACGGAAATGGATTTTCACGCCCCCAGCCCAGAGCGCGTGTGTGGTTTAGGCCTGGGTACTCTCCTATTTGCCATATTAAATCGCTATTTCAGCATTAAGGATGTCTACCAAGTCCTCCTCCTTTTTGCTGCTGGTTGCTCATACCAACTGCGTGGTACCTCAGTGTTCACGCGACGCTCGCCTGATACACAGGGCTGCAGGTGGTACGTGACGGTCTTAGTGAACAAGGAAGTTGTAAACCTCTCCATCATCGTGGAGAACAATCGCTGGAGCAAAGCATCCCGCTCCTGTGGTTAGCTTGCTGCCAAGCTTGCTCTTGGTAAGGCAAAGGGCAAAACATACTTACAGTCTTTTACTCTCTTATACCACCCCATGGCTCGGCATTGCTTTTTCAGGGATGGTTTTCTGTCAGAACATCTGCTGGAATATCAAAATAATCCTTCACAGTGGTTATGCGAACATAGCGAACAGAGGGGGAGAGAGAGCTTAACAGGCGAACAATCATACATTTAACAGGGCCAGTGCCACTCATCAAGACACAGACCCAGTCAGTATCGCAACTCCTATCCATATCAACCATTTTCCCCATCCCCTAAGACCTAATGACCATAGGATGCTCATGATCCTGGATTTAACCCATCTGGCCAATCGCGTGGTTGAACTGACCGAAGGAACTCACCAGTTTGGTCTGCAATTTCTTTCATTATGGCACACGCCTCCTCTAGCAAGGAGGAAGCATTGTAGATGGCAACACAGCATTCAGCTTCACAGAGATTAAACATTCTGCACACCCCTTGTTCTTTAAGCAATAACACAGCAATCACAGAATGGTTTGGGTTGGAAGGGACCTTAAAGACCATCCAGTTCCAACCCCCCTGCCATGGGCAGGGACACCTTCCACTAGACCAGGTTGCTCAAAGCCTCATCCAGCCTGGCCTTGAACACTTCCAGGGATGGGGCATCCACAGCTTCTCTTGGCAACCTGTTCCAGTGCCTCACCACCATCTCCAAGAAGAACTTCTTCCTGACATCCAATCTAAACCTCCCCACTTTCAATTTAAACCCGTTACCCCTTGTCCTGTCACTACAGGCCCTTGTAAAAAGTCCCCCCCAGCTTCCTTGTAGGAACTGGAAGGCTGCAATAAGTTCTCTCCAGAGCCTTCTCTTCTCCAGGCTGAACAAGCCCAACTCTCTCAGCCTGTCCCCACAGGAGAGGTGCTCCAGCCCTCTGAGCATCTTCGTGGCCTCCTCTGGGCCACGCATCCAGCACAAGTCTGTTTTGTAAAGTCATTTTGGAAACTTGCTGGACTTGTAAATTCAGTCTAGCAATGGCCTATTTAGTCCAGTTACTTAACACATGAACTTGTCAGGTAATATTTTCCAACACAATTTGATGTCGCTTAAGGGTATGATAAGGACCAAATACAGTTTCAAAAAAAGAACAAAACCTGCTGCAGTCTGCCTTGCAGCGCAGTTGTCTGGAATTCGGATTCCGGCAATAGCCCAGTCTGGTCTACCAAAGGATTGTATTGACATCCTGCTTAGATCGGAAATGTGTTTAGGACAAAGGGAAGGTATTCCCACACCACCACATCTGAGTCCAGCGTGATGTTCTAAAGTTAGCAAGGAACAGAACTTCCCGTTAGAGCAGCCCCATGCCAGATTGAAAGGAGCCATATACCAGGCCATTTTACAGTTGGCCTTATCTTTGTAACCCCACAAAT